GGTATTTTACACCTGGTTGTAGAACTCTTCTATGTCTTCCTCACTGTAATCCAAGGTGGGTGCATGCTTGGATGACCATAATGTTTAAAAGTGTTGCACTGTGGCGGATGGTAATAAGCCTTCCTGAGATTGGTTGACAGCCTAGTACAGTATTCTTGCTGTCCTTATGTACAAGAAAACTAACACCGTTCATGTGTCTGTCAGATTCTCCGCTGTAGAAAAACAGGTGGCCTTCATCTGTTGACATATCTCAGAAGTCTTTCCATTTAGTTTTGAAGAGATGCCAGGAGTACTGGTCCATCTCATGGATAAGCTCTTTAAGCTTGGCCGTCTGTTACAATGTACAGACTTTCCAATATAGAAGTGGTGAAGATGTTTCTACCATGAAGACTTATTGTTTTTTGGTTACCAGCATACTTATCGCATCCTGAGGAGTGGACAGCGGGGTCTTGGTTTTCCCTGGTGATGGCTGATCCAGAATTGCATTTGGAGAGCTGTTAATCATCATTTGTGGTGTGTCTTGAGCCAAGAGTAAAACCTGGCAGTGCCCATCCTTCTTCAGACCCTGTGGATGGCCAAGACTCCTTATGAGCCTTACCATGCCCTTCGCTTACCACAAGTGTTGACGTCTTCTCTCCCCTCTGCTGATGTCATCTTCACATGCTTGGATAGGCTAATCCCAAACTCACAGAGGGTTTTTGACCTGACAGATAACCTTGCTAGGTTTTGCCCATGTCCGAGACAATTTACGGGTCGTGGCCACTGCACATGATTCAGCTTCTTACAGTTACAGGTAAGAGCTGAATGCCAGTTGAGGCACACAAATGGACGAGTATCCCTAAAAAGGACTCAGCAAGCCCCTTCACCGTAGGTAGTACCTCAAACTGACACCCCATAAACTCCAAACTTGATTTTTTTATTAAACACCAAGTTTAAAAAATGTATTTTATTTTTGATTAATATTTATGTTTTGAAACAGAATCTAAAATATGCCTATTTACTGGTGCAGCATTTGTGGGACATGCAAGTAAGAAATATTCAACCAATGTCCCTTTTTTCTTGAAACAGAACAGAATTACAGGCATACTCTGTTCACTTTCCTTAGAAATTCATCCTTCCCATCTGATATTAAGACCTCAGTACCTCAGGCCCTTGGTCATCTGATTCCAATGTGAGATTCACTAGAAAACAAAAAAAAAAAACGAACACTTGATGCCAAGCTGGCCTTGTGTGTGTGAGTGAGTGGCAATAAATTATGTTGTGTAATAGTTCGACCCTGAAGTCATGCAGGAATATAGTTCAGCATAGATAGAGACAGATAGATAGATAGATAGATAGATAGATAGATAGATAGATAGATAGATAGATAGATAGATAGATAGATAGAGATCAACAATTTAAGCCTATTTAGTTCAGTAGTAAAATCTGATGTGTATATTTAGGTGTGAAGTTTAATTGCTTGAGTTTGTGTGTCTCACTGGAAGGAGACATCAATTAAACGGGGGGGGAGCTCACTGTAGTGGGAGGCAACTATAATGAAAATTGAACACCACTTGAACTAACTTGGCAGACTGCCGCTCTCGCTCTGCTTGCCTGCCTCATTATTTACCCATTAGCAGACTCTCTGTCCAAACCTTTATATAGCAGGCAAACACTTGCTTTATCATGACTCCACATCAATTTGAATTAAACAGAGTTTAGTCTTCCCAGCCTATTCTTACAGCTGGCATTTCTCATTATGACAAAATTACATTTAAATTCAAACAGTCAGCAAACCATTGTGTTTTCTATTTGCAAAAAGTTAGAACTAAAAGCCCCTTCACACTAAAGGCCCATTAACACCAAGGGCGATAACTATAATGATAAAGATGTAGTTCTTAAAACCGTTTTAAATATAAAAGAATAGAGTCCACACCACAACTATAACAGAACAGCGAAACAATATTGTTTGGATCACTTTTTTTTTCAGCTGATGAACAATGAAAACATTGACAGCCAATCAGAATCCACCAGATTTTAAAGGGATAGTTCACTTTGAAATTAATTTTTGATATGTTTTAGCTTACCTCAAGGGCATCCAAGATGTAGGTGTCTTTGTTTCCCAGCCCATTCTCACCCCCAAGGCGTCACTTAACTGACGCCTTGGGAAGCATTTGGACATGCTTCAATATCTGACGCTTTAGGCGCCCTTTAGCGTCAGTTAGATAACGCCCTAGGATCGCGTGTACCCTACCCCCACCCCACACCTAAACCTAACCGCGTCCCTTAACTGACGCTTTCCTTTAGCGTCAGTTAGATGACGCCGTAGGATCGCGTCATGTAAGTGACGCTAAAGGGCGCCTAAAACGTCAAATATTGAAGCATGGTCAAAGGTGACGCCTTGGGGTGAGAATGCGTTGTGTTTCCACAGTATTTTCAATTTTGTCATTTTTCAGTCAAACCGTTGTTGTCTATCAGTCATACACTGGAGGCTAAGGGGGTCCACCAAAAAGCATGCACAGAGAAGTCAAAATTAAACATGATTTAATGACTCTTAAATGTAAGTACACATTGATGGCCTAAGACACGAAACGAGCAGTTTTTGTGAGAAAACGAACAGTATTTATATCGTTTTTACCTTGTGTAATCACAGTGACGTCCAAGTGATCTGAATCAGTTGTGCAATGTCCAACTGAACCGAACTGAATCAGTTCAATGTTACGCCGGAAGTGATCGCTTGCGTGTGACGTCACTCAATATTTACACAGAGATTTCGGAAGTTTTACCTTTTACTAAACATATTTAGACATACCGAAATCGTCTTCCATTGCGGTTTTCCGTATATCTAAATATGTTTAGTGAAAGGTAAAACTTCCGAAATCTCTGTATAAACAAAGAGTGACGTAGGCGCGCAAGCGATCACTTCCGGCGCATGCGCAGACCGAAGCACCCGTGCCGTCAGATCATTTTGTCATGGCTATGATTACAAGAGGTAAAACGATATAAATACTGTTCGTTTTCTCACACAAACCGCTCGTTTCGTGTCTTAGGCCATCAATGTGTACTTACGTGTACGAGTCATTAAATCATGTTTAATTTTGACTTCTCTGTGCATGCTTTTTGGTGGACCCCCTTAGCCACCAAAATACAGCCACCTTAAATAAAGTTTTACAGTCTTTTTGATCAGCTCAATACTTCTATATTATGTAATTTCCAGTGAAGGTAATTATATCATATAATGCAAGATATTCCCAATGTTCTGTCTCTTTGCTCTCATATGACATCAGTTGCTGAGAGCTTTGGACATTACTGACAATCGCAAGCTTGTTTGTCAAAACCTATTAAATCCCAATTACTGAAGTATTCATGCCCTGTGTGGTTTGTGCCAAGCAGAAATATGAAGAGAAGTCCGGTGGCCTGTAGTTCAACATTATCGTGTTACAATAGGCAGATTCATGGCACTGTGATATTAAAAAGAGATAAAGCTGAATGGACTGCTCCATTGTCTTCTCGAAGAGGTGTGTTTTGTGGGGGAGGAATCACAGATAATGAGGTCAATGGTTTTAGGGTGGAGTGGGTGGAGTCAAAGCAACTGGTGCCAATCAAACGTGCACATCATTTACCCACTCTAATGTCATGTCTTCCCTGTTATTTTCTTTCTTCTGTGGGATGTGAAAAAGAGAAAGAATGTCCCAGGCACTCTTTTCAAGTAAAACACAAGTAAAAATGTTTATATATTCAAAAAGGTGGGGTCGGTAAAAGTTGTGCCTCTTAACATTTTTTTTTTTTTTTTTTGAAAATGGTGATCATTTTTTTCAAGTAGTCTTTTATGAATAGGAAAAAAATGCATCTATTTGAAATTTAAATATTTTGCAACTTTATAAATGTATTTTACTTTCACTTTTGATCAATTTAATACTTCCTTGTTGAATAAAAGTATTTGTTTCCCAAATATTTATTTATAATTTATATAGTGTGGCATATTTTCAATTTTATATTAAAAAGTTATATGGTTCAACTTGTATGATACTTTTATTCGGTTCTTTTGGAGCTTAACAGTATAAATGTATAAATTAAATAAATATGAAATAAGAAAGTAAATGACGAACTATCCCTTTAACTCCACAAGTGCCCTGACCAGCCTCTCTTTAAACATGGAATATCATCCTTCCTCCCACACTCCTACCTCACGAGGAGACGTGCTAAAAATAAACGTCTGGTGTGAGGGTGGAGTTCGGCAAGTGTTTTTTGACTCCTGGGCGGCAGAGAACAGTGCGAGACATGGACAGGAAGGGACAACTTCCTAATGTCTCGAGTAGGACGTAAAATTTGTTCTGTGACAGTGTGAAACCTTGACAGTGAGTTATACCACATGCCCTCCAATGAATGATTCTTGTGGTGTGAGTGCAACTTTGACCGTGTGCGTGACTGCGTGTGTGAATTGCACATTTTTATCTCACAAAGTTTTAGCGTTTTCATATGATATAAAATATTTAAATATGTTAAAATTTCTACTACTCTACACATTCTAGTAAGTGGAACTTTGACTGACTGTGTATTTGTGCATGGAATCTTGTTTCATTCACAGAATAAAAACAATTCAAAATTTAATTGTAACTTATTTCACAATTTTGACTTTTCCCCCCTTACAATTACGGTTACAATTCTGTTTTTTTTTTTTTTTTTATAGTTTATATCTAAAGTTTATATCTCATAATTCTGAGAAGAAAATCCAGAATTGTATCTCTCACAATTCTTTTTTCTCAGAATTAGGAGTTTAGAAAAAAAGTCAGAATTGTCCCCCCGGCAGAAATAAGCTTCCCTAGTGTGTGGGATGTGGAAGTAGGAAAAAACAGTATACCTAGAGGATCCTCTACTGGAAGCACAGCCCTCTCTCTCTCTCTCTTTCTCTCTCTCTCTCTCTCTCTCTCTCTCTCTCTCTCTCTCTCTCTCTCTCTCTCTCTCTCTCTCTGTCTCTCTCTCTCTCTCTCTCTCTCTCTGTCTTTCTCAGCTGGCTCTACTCTCTCTCAGTCCTGCGCTGAGACTGTGTGCGCGCACTGAGCTTTGCAGAGAGACACAGAGAGCAAGCAACAGAAGAGTGCCTAGGGCTTCACCAAGCTTCAGTTGAGTTTAGTCTCAGCCAAGTTACTATTTAAAAGTCCGAGAGGAAGAGTACACAACATCTAGGAGATAAACAACCACAGGAACACAACTAACACACTTTGAAAGTGAAACAGTGAGTGGTGTGGACACTCATGGTCCTCTCCTGAGGCTGTGGCTGCTTCACCAGGAGAGATGTGATCGTTGTGTGGTTCACACGCGCTGACTTATTCAACACACAGAGACACCTGCTCCATCCTCAGGTGGCGTTCCGAAGGACTGGATTGCTGAAACGGTGGCCACGGGACTGCATGCAGACAGGGAAGAACATGGACTACCTGTGGGGGATTGTACTGCTGCTGTGGGCACTCGGCGTGCCGGAGAGAGGAACCGATGCACAGAGGAGCAAGAACAACGTACCCCGGCTCAAACTCTCCTATAAAGGTCAGTCACCTCCTGGTGCTGGGATTCTGAAAAATCCAAAATCAGTCAGAATGATTGAGCTATCTTAGAAGAGCAGATCTTTAGGCTTGTTAAAGTTTGATAGGTTCAGTCTGTGTTGAGTTGGCGTACGGTTCCGAATGCTTCTGGGGAATATTTCATTGATATGATTCACATGGTTTAATTATGCATGGTGGGTCATTTACAAAGATGTTTTTGAAAGCTTGAAAATGAGCTGGATTTCAAACTGATATGAAGGGGTGCATATGGAGTTTTACATTTAAGTTTGCTTTCATTATTAATAACTAAAATATTAGAGTGGTGGTATTGAATTAAAGTAATATGGTGTTTTTTTGTTCGTTGGTGCCAAGAGGTGGAATGTCAGATTGAAGGAGCATTACCAGATGATTTATCATGATTAATGTTTTTTTTTATGATATAAAAAAACAAAACAAAAAAAAAAAAACATTTAACCATAAAAAGTGGTTCTGCACAAAAATTAAAGGCAATATTTCTGGCTGATCTGACCCATAAATCTTAATTTTGTAGGTATAACCTAATGCAGTAATATTAAACAAATATAACTTGATCATTATGTGAAAATCCACATAAATTACATGTTTTTTAGGTTGCCTGACAAAGCTTTTTTTTTACAGTTTTAATCAGCAGTATGTTCGAAGGAAGGGTTCAACTATGTAGGAAGCAATAATACATTATTTATCACATTATTTTGCGATTTATTTGAGTTTCATGCACAGGTTAAATCATGTGTAGTTGAGTGTGTGGGCTGAATGCTTGTATCTGGATGCACAGGTGGGAATGTTTATTTATTTATATACTGCACATTAAGTTAAATCTAACTTATTAATATGAGTCAATTGCAAATGATCACAGTGGTTTTGCTTCAGTAACCAACACAAATGCCAATTATAATTAATAATTGATTTAATAAATTATTTTCACCTTGTTTAGTTTTGTTCATTGTTTTGAGGATGAGGACATCTATGCTGGCAAGTGACACCAAATTTGCAGCATAATAATATGAGAAATGAATTGGAAGTTTTAATGCTGACAGGAAATGTTATCTCCTCTTTCAGAAGCTGACGGGACTATTTTGCTATAATAACTCTACACGATGTTCAATTTGATTATTTATATACAGTTTTGTTTGACAGTGACCCTATCAGACCATTTTTGGGTCACGGACGGACCACTGATCATTCATATTCTTCTCTGCGTGTAAATGTACTGTTACCTCCCTCCACTTTTTGTTGCTCTAAGTTCGAGCAAATTGTTTATAAGATTCTCAGTGTTTTGATGGAGTGTGTTATTATAATTGCAGACTGTATAACGTAAAGTGGCTGTTTTTAATGATGCGGTTATGCTAAAACATTACAACTCTTCCCGTCCGATTGGCGTTCGTGATGAAGTGAGCTGTCAAGAGTGAATTCACAGTAAGAGTGTTTAAATGAAAGAGCTCGTTCCAGCCTCGCACTGTAATTAGAAAGAGACGCACACACAGAGAGAGAGAGAGGGAGGGAGGGGTTTAACAGTCAGGGCAGATGGCTGTATGAAAGTGAGCCATTTCTCTCTCTGCCAGCTTTCTAATTGCACTGACAGCTCCTCATTAGCTGGCTGGTGGAAGCTGAGCTCTATATGAACCGCGGTGTGTGACTGTCAGGCGACAGACACACTCGATCCAGCACGCACACATGCACAAACACACAGGGGGCTTCTTAAGTACCCAGAGCTCTCATCTGCCCGAACACAGATACACACAGACGTCTAGAGCTGTTCGCCGTATCAAACACTGACACCTACAGGCATGCACACACTGTTTGTGTGGAAAACAATGAAGGAAGAGACAAAGAGAGATGGAGAGAGGGAATATGTGTTGTGCTTTTGCTATGCGAGTGCATGTGTGTTTGTGATGTATGCAGGCTGATCTGGGCAATCACAATTTGGTGAAATGCCAAGACGGATTCTGATATTTTCCAGCACACCTGTGAACATTTGTCACCACAGTCTGGCTGATTCATCTTTTGCTGAATTCTCATCAATTAAAATGCATGTGGGTGTGTGGAAGTAGTTAATCATGGAGAGTATGTTTGATTGTTTAGTGTCTTTACATAATTTAGAGACTATGAAGATTGTATTGGTTTTATATTTATTTAAAGGTGAGTTGTGTGATTTCAGTGGCACTATTGTCACCAAATGGAATGTATTTCTTTGTTTATACAGATTTTTTTTTTTTTAAATATTCACCTTGCTTCCAATGATTGGCCAAACTTTTGGCCAAACATTTTTTTTTTTTTTTTTTTTTTTTTTTTTTTATAACAAAGCCAATTTTCTTGTGGGCTGGTTGGGATGATTCACAGTTTTTGTGAGAATCCAGCCTAAGAATGGTTTTCTTATACAGAAGTTATGTCTGTATATTAAAGGTACACTGTGTAATTTGTAGCAGCATCTAGTGCTGAGGTTGTGAATTGCAGCCAACAGAAGTTACGGTGGCCGACAGAAAAAGATCGTCGCCTGAGACAGCAGAGAGCAACCAGTTAAGCAATGAGGTTTCTTTACAAAGATAAATTACTTAATTATTCAGTAAAAATATGTCAGTGTTTTATTCGCTGACTTTAGCTAGCTTCTTGGCACAAAGAACAACATAGTGACGAAACGCGTTTGTCCGTTTAGGGCTACTGTATAGAATGTTGGCGCATTTCAATGTATGGGGACCTGTGGTGTATGTAGATAGAAATGGCTCATTGTAAGGTAATACAAACATAACTGTTCACTAAGTAAGGTCTTTATACGAGCCTTTTCTCATCCTTTGGCATCATATAGGTGACACCATATGACATTTCGTCAAAATACTACGCACATGGCACCCTTAAGCATCAATATAACACCCAAGGCGTCATACAGGTGACTTGCATCATTTAGCTTCAAAATGAGACGCAGACCTAAACCTACCCATAACAATGCGTGTTATATTGACGCTAAAGGGTGCCACATGCGTAGTATTTCGACGAAATGTCATATGGCGTCACCTATATGACGCCGAAGGATGAGAATGTGTTGCTTTATACACAACTGAAAACATAGTTCTGTCAACAGATCGTCCTAAATATACACAATGCACCTTTAAGGTAGGATTGAAGAAAACATACACACTTTACTTTCAATATAAGTTACACTCTAAAAAAATCTGGGTTATTTCAACCCAAACTTGGGTCAAATATTGACAAACCCAGTAATCCAGTAGGTTAACATTTTAAATTACATTTTTAACCCAACGTTTGGGTTTGTCCATATTTTACCCAAAATTGAGTTAACATCCCAGCATTTTTTAGAGTGTAAAAGAAATAAAATTATTTTGGGGGATCAGTTCAGGTAGAAATCGCTCCTTTAAAGTAACAAAATAACATACTTTTATATAATAATAATACTTTGCAATAAATATTACCAGTTGAAAACTTTGTTTATAGCTTTATGTTACATTTTAAAGGTGATAAAGGTTTAAGCTATAAACAAATAAAATAATTTAATTTTTATAATTTAATAAAATAATAATTTAATAAAATAATTTTTACTTATTTTACACTTATTTTAAAATGCTGGGTTGTTTGAACCCAATTTTGGGTCAAATATGGACAAACCCAATTGTCGGATTACAAATGCAAATCATAAATTAAACCCAACTTAGCATTTTCCAGAGTCTATTTTATTTATTTGTATTAAACAATGTTGATTACAGAAACTTGTTGACATTATCATATTATGCTAAATATGGTTTTCCTGTATAAAATGCCTTTCAAATATTAAACCACTTCAAATGTCCTCACGTGATCTTTTTTTGATTGCGTTCCTCGTGGGAGTGGTATCAGTGTCCCCTCTGAGCTGAAAGTTCCCAGGGCAGGTTAACAATAACACCTTTACATGAATGTGAAGTGGTGTGGAAAGACATAAAGAACATGAGAATCTGTCGCTGCTTGTAGGTAGTAGAGAAACAAGAGATTGGCTACTTCAGTGGGAGCGTGTGCAAATTTGTTGGATGGGATAATGTTTTTGGTGTAAAGCTATCACATTCCAAAGTGAATGTTTTAATACGGCTATAATCTCATGAAGGAATGAGAGAAGTTTTATTTCACTTTAATTAAGCTTTTAATTCACAAACACGCCAAGAATCTGGTGTTGGGTTGCGTTTGCAGCATGTGAACTCTATCCTCTTCAGAAATAAAGCCCCAGCGTTAGAGCGCACACACACCTAAAACAATACTCTGCCAAATTCCTGTGAAATGGGAAACATTTATGCTATAAAACAGTTTTCGCCCTGGAAAGCAAAAAGAAATGATGAATATTGGATTAGATTTGATTTTAGGTGTTTGTTTGCCTTCAAATCATCTTTGGACCCTGTGGAAAGGGTTCAAACGATCACGTACGCAAATAATCAGAACTCCAAATTTGATTAGATGGACACGCATGCTGAGATGAATGGAAAAAGGTGAGTGTGTAGCACTCATGTTTCCTTTGCCCACACACACACACATGTGCCCTGTAGAGAGTGCAGGCAGTAGGGTTGGGAAGTTTATTTTTATCAGCCTCAGATGGGACCGTTCCTCTGCCTCCACCTGCCCTCCCCTCATTGCTTGTGCTCTCAGAGGTTTTTCCACAACAATAGATGAAGGGAAAAATACAGAGAGATGGTCTCAGTGGTTTGAGGAGGATGAGACTAGCTCGTCTCCTGCCGTAGGCCTGTTTGTGTGCTGTTTAAAAGGATGAGCTTCAGAATAGCTGCATATCTAAAGCCACTTCCTCCTGTGTGAATGCGTGCTGGTGCTGTAGATTACCCACAATGCCAGGCAGGGGCACCGTATGTTCTGGAATCTCAAATGTAAAACGCGACCTGTTTTTGTCCCGACTCAGCTAAGTTATGATACAAAAAGTTTGCGGTTAATTCGATTTGTATTTTTTAATTTTAAAAGAAAACTCTTATGCTCACCAGG